AAGAGCACCAGGTCTCTGTTGAAGGTCTCTGGCATTCTGCAGACATCTAAGGACAATCTTGGACAACTGATAGCCTCACTTTACAAGGAAACAGTTTTGTGTTAATTTCAAGACAGAGCTTGACCTTTGCTGAAATCTGTGTAGTCTCCAGTTGCGTCCAGGGGGGTGGGTTGTTGCCATGGCAAGGATTTTAGTCACTAGCCCCGAAGAGAAAGGGGCGTTTGGCTTAGGGAGTGCAGTAAGAGCAAGGCCTGCAGTACGAGGGGTGCTTTATTTCAGGGCTCAGTGGGAAGCCACTAGAGCCAAAGGGTCTGAATATTTAACATTTTCCCAAGGAAACAGTCAATCTGTTAGTTTTACCCTTCAGCACAGAACAAGATGCGGATGGCAAGCGAAGGAGAGACACTGGGGACAGTTCAAGGTCACTGGACCACAAGTTTTGAGAAATAATGAAATGACAGAAGCACCAGAGGGCTGAAGACTGGACAAATAACACTAATTGTGACTGACGACAAAAACCTCAGAGCGAAAATCTTTTTGTCTTCAAAAGCTACCTAGCAATTAATGAGGGAGTGAAAGAGATCTTTTTAGGGGAAAATTATTTTTACCTCAATTAAAAAATGCTAGTTGGTTGTTAGGATGCTGATCAGTAGATATAGTTTAATTCTCTATATTTTCTCTTCTTTTTAAGTGTTTGCTAGCTGTCCACATTGAGTATTTAGTTACTAAGATAGTAGAGTTTTGCATCTAGCACTGATACCACAGTTCCTGTGGCAGTTACTTGCTGGGGCTGAGGTTAGTGTAAGATTAATGAAGTTAATGCAGTTAACTGTGCGGTTTGGGGACAGCCATCACAGAGCTCCTCACTCGGACGAACCCACTGATTTGGTCCAAGTCTGGATGGTCATGTTTCAGTGGAAATTCCATAGTTTTCGGTTAACTGTAATTAGCGAGGTCACCTCTCCTCCCCCAGCTCCGTGCCATGATAGTGTGTATATAATATCTCTCAACAAGAAGCTCAGAATAGTATTATTAACTAATTATGCAATGAATAGGAAAACAGGTATTATATTTTTAGAGGTGGAAACACAAAAATTCACATTCTAAGAGCGAACTGAATACTGTCTACCCTCTTCAAACCTTCTCCTTTTATACCTGCAGTTCATTAAAGTCATGTCTATTTGGAAATCCAAATTCCATCTCAGCCCTAAATCCTTCGCATTTTATCAGCCAGTGGCTGTCTTCTATTCTACCATCCACTTTTGCCTAGAATTAGCACACTCCCCTCTTTCTTTCCTGTTTCCCCTGCTCGGGTCAAGCCCGCATAATGTCTGAACTGGTCTCCTAGCCCCTGGGCTCATCACCTTCCAGGACAAATCCCAAATGCCTCAGGTTGAGCCTCTTAGTTCCTTGTTATCATACCTGAAAATGCCTCGGTCACTCACAAGGCCGCGAGTTCCAGGAAATGGGGCCAGAGGTGATGGTCTGTGGTTCACATTTACGTCTGCAGCACATAGTGTGGAGCCTGGCTGCACATAAACTGCAGTGCTGTCCACCTGCCTGCTGGTCCATCGGCCCTCAGCAGAGCGTCAGTGAGAGCCGCGCGTGCACCGGTGCGTGCGCGGAGGAATGAGAGCATGGTGGTGATGCTCATGTCGGGACATGTTGCTGCTTATACCGATGCATTTATACTGATGTGTATGTCTTTATAAATACATTTTAGATATGTACAGACACAAATATATCTACACTTCCTTTATGATTTGTGCTTTTGTGCACTTCTTGAGAATCTCTTTCATCCTAAGCCATAAAAACCTCCCCCAATTTTTGATTAAGGTCTCAGGAGTGGAATGACATTACCTGTGTTCAAATCCCATCTTTGGAACTAAAAGTTGGGCAACTTTGCTATTGTGTGCTTCAGTCTGATCATCTTTACGAGACTCGTAAGAGTGTTTAATTCGGCTTGTTTTGAAGATTAAGGGTCCGGATAGAGCCAGCTGTATAGACGAGTGCCTCATAAATAGCAGGTCTGCACTGTGGGTCTCCGTGCATCTCTCCTGACTCTCCTGGCACTATCCTCCAAGAATAGCCTAGCCTTGTATTCTCTTCCTTCCCAGGGTCTTGTGCACTCACCGTTTTCTCTTCTCGGGATATTCTGCTCCCAAGTTTATATGGCTATTCCACGTCACTTTCCACCCTACCCAGTAGAAAGGTATCAGTCTTCCTGCCCCCCCTGAACCAAGGCACTCTTCACTTGTTTTAGTCTACCTTGTTTTTATCACATTCACTGTCTAGAGTTTCTTCTGAAATCATCTTTCCTCCCCCACTAGAAGGCATGCTTCATCATAACAGAAGCCCTTGCTTATTTACTGCAGTATCTTCAGAATCTGGCACACTGCCTGGCAAAGAGAAAGGCCTTAGTAATTACTTTCCCAAGCAATCTGTCCCTTTCTCCTGACCCAAACAGTCTTGCTTTTTGGAGGGTAATTCTGGTGACAGCATGGAAGGCTGATTTGCCTTGCTGCAAACACTTAGGATGCGGACTGGCTGGACAAAGGCAAGCAAGGTGGAGAAAGGAAGACATGCAGGGCCTGGCGGGCTGACTCTGCACGGATTTACGCGTGTATTATAAGGAAGAGGTTTTTCCCGGCTTGGAGGCTTCGTGCTGGCTTTGCTCCATGCCTGGAATGCTCTTTCTTTGGCTTACTCTCCTGGTCTCACATTAGCGATAACCTTCCCATGGAGGACCTTCCAGACCCTTTTATCTAAAGTGGATCTTACAGACTTGGTACAGCTGGCTGAGATAACATGACTCGAAATCCCCGGAGAGTTTCGGTGTGCATGCCGAGCGCGTGAAGGTAGGCCCAAGGCCATCAGAAAATGTGAGCTCCACTGCGACAAGAGTTTTGTCTCTCTTCTGCCACTGTCTTTCAATACCTAGAACGCAGTAAGCGCTGAGTGAATATTTATAGAGTGAATCAATAAATGGTTTTCCTGTGGTTTCTTTTGTTTTCCGTTAACTTGTTTTTCGACTTTGATGTTGCAATGGTTTATTTATTTATTTTTTTCCTTTTGGGTCTGAACATTGAAAGCTGTTTGCTTTGAATCACTTGCCTGTTTCAGAAGACTGCTCTGCCAGGTGGTGAGTCTGTTTATCTCCAAGTCAGATGTCTCTCTTCCTCCCCCGCCACTCTTTGGGCTGGTCTCATTTGGAGGACATTCTCACCCTGTTACCCTGCCATCTCCTCAGAAATCAGCCACAGAAAAGCTTTGGGAAGCAGAAAAGCCCAAGCATAAAATCCTGACTTGATAAACACTAGGTCAGGGCAGACTCGTAAGGCCAAGAGTGGTGGCATGGGAATTTAAGCCAGACCAAACTTCTTCTGCTATGTGCGGGGACACTTCAAATCTAAAACGCACCCCGAAGGGCAAAGGGGAAGATGATTCAGCTCCAGAATGACTGCATTTTGGGGTGACATCAGGAAATGCAGATGGAGACATTTAGAAACAGATGTGATGCGTGGTAGGCAGTTGGCCCTGGAGCAGCCAAGGTCCAGCCTTAAGATTGTATTTAAAAATCATCTAGGATGAGAGCAAGTAATTAGTATTATGACCTTAAGGATACGGTACGGTACTGAATATTTTTTCAATGAGTAAAATCATAGGGAAGATTGTATTTACAGAGGTAGAAAGGTGGATCAGTGAACAGTTTTTTTTTTAGAACAGTGACAAAGTGTATGCAGTATGTTTAGTTCACTGTAATTAGGGCGTTAGAATTCTCATTCCCTTGGTGAACAACTGCTAAATGTCTCCTGCATGTTGGAACGGGCAGCGTGCACCCTGGACAGAACTGCAGACTGCTCTATTTCCCAGGTGACAGAAAACCTACCAAACTGCTGAGCTGAGCTTCAACTTCTCCATGTGGTCCAGGTGAGAAGCCTGGTTTTGACCCAAAGACTCAGAATGAGTTTTTCTCAGCTCTGGAGTTTTCACTCAGAGAACGATGTGCCTGGCAGTTCTGGGTAAGAAGAGGAAGTTCTGAGAAATGAAGCCGGGGCTTGAACCAGCGTGGCCAGACTCTCCCCTCACCTGCCTCCAGGCTGCCCTTAGTGGTTTTTACTCTGTGCTGGAGAGCAAAGTCCCAGAGCAAGCTCTGCCCTTGGGCACGGGAGCAGCGAGCACCGCTCTGAGGGCTCAGCCGGTACTCACTGAGGGTGTGAGGTCTGCACGGAGGCCGGGCTCCCTCCACCCCCAGTACTCCCAGCAGCCTTCTTGGGTTTGCAGTGCCCACCGTGAGGGTGAAGAGTAGGTTAGGCTCAAGACAGCAACAGACCTCAAGCTCAGCAAGGGAGGCTGGGTGGAGCCAGGTGGGTCTTTTTTGGGGCATCCTGAGTTCAGAGGCACCGACGAAAAGGAAACAGAAGCCCCAGAGAAACCTCACTGTTTCACCGTCTGGCCTCGAGGTAGTCCTGGCCAGGAGGGGACCGCTGGGGCCTGATGCTGAGTAAAGCCGTTTGCTCTGACTTTCTTCAGACATCAAGCAGATGGGCTTTCCTTGCAGTTTGAGGCGTTACTTACTCTCAGGCAGCACATCTTCCTAGCAGGGCCTGCAAGTGTGGGAAGACGCCACCCCTGGCTCCCAGCCTTGTGCAGATGTCTGTCAGCATGTGCAGAGATTCAGCACTTGCTGTGTCCTGCGCTCAGCACCTCGTTTAGTCCCCAGGACGACCCGTATCAGTCTGTTCTAAGGCATTAGCTCTCAGCTCCTGAGTCTGAGTGGGCCACAGGAGTCCAACAGTGCTAGCACCATGGGGCCAGCACTCCGATCAAGGTCCTCTTCTGCAGAGTTTTTGATCCTAACCAGTACTCTTTCTGGTCTGATCACCACATGTAGTCTTCTGGTGGCCATACTGCTAGAATCCCAAAGCCTGGCTGTATCCTAGGAATACAGAAGTTAGCCATTCTTGACCTTTCCAAATACCAAATGAATTTTAACAAGGTTTTATATAAAACTGACCTTTATTACAATTAAAAAAGAACAAAGACAATTTGATAAGTGCCTTTAATTACAACGTACCTGCTATTTACTTGTAATTATACTTTACCTGTAATTACACTTTTTATATACAGCTTGAGTAGGTTCATTACATGTAAACTATAAGATATTACAAGTTGAACTCCAGGCTTTTCTGAGTATTCCTAATTGAAATACTCCCAGCAGAAACACAGAAACAAATGCTCATTTCAGGTCCTTGGGTACCATTACTAGGTGAGATGTGGCCACAGAAGAGAACAGAAATGTGCATTAAATTGAAAGGTATTCTTAACATAACTAACAGTATTGCTGTCATCTAAACCCTAAGCATAATTGATAACTGGATCATTAAAATGATACTTCAATTTTTATAGCACCTTTCTTCTAAAGAGGTGAAAGCATTCGTGCTTATCTACATTATCTCATTGTCCCCCAAACAGCCCGATGAGGTAGGCAGTGTTGGTGTCATCCCCACATTTGTACATGGAGAAACTGAGGCACAGAGAAGTCAGATCATTTGCTTGAGGTCACACAGTAAAGTCAGCGCCAGAGCAGGGACCACAGCCCTGCGCTTTTGTCTCCAAAACCAATGGTTTTCTTCTGACTGAATTGTCCCATGTGAGAATTTAATTCATTTTTCCAAGAACTAAAAATGTGCATTATTTTTCACCCATAAAAATTGTTGAAATACAACAGACAAACACTCTGGGACGGAGAGTGGGCTGATGCTGCACTCTCCCAGAAAGCGCTCATGGAAGTTTTTTGTTTTGCTTTTCTTACTTCAAAGGGTTTCTCTTCCTAGTTGACACAAAGCTAAAAGTCTCTAGAAGAAATATATTTAGAAGGACTCCCTAGTAATCTACATATTACAGTTTTAACAGCCACATGATGCCACCCACAAACCAGGTTTATTCCTGAGTTTAAAAAGAAGATAGTACCTAAACAAAAAATGAGATTTTTGAGATAAGTTTTTAAATTCATACACATTTACTGTTTACTCCTAAGAAACTCTGAGTGATGGGGTGGGATAATCAATTTTGTGGAGAGACGTACAAACAGAGGGCGGGACACTAATAGGCAGGCTTTTAAAACACATAGGAAGAAGATAAGCAGGTATTATTCTGCTAATTTTGAAAAAAATCCTAGTGAAGTTATGATTTACAGTGAAGTGTAAACAATCAAAATTCTAAGCATTCAGCTTCTTCAATGTGCAGAAGATGAGAACCCCATTGCTGCCTCGCTCCGTCACCTGGGCCGGTGAGGGGTCCCCGGCTTCTCACTCCAAAACCAGACCGTTTGCCTAGGCACGGCCACTCACCCTCAGCCTCTGGTAACTCCTTGTTTAGATGCTGGAACACTGTATTTTCTTGAGACCTAAGAGAACGGAGTGAAGTGGTTATGACTAACCCAACTTATAAGCACCATGTCCCGGGGGAGGGAGTCCAGCAGCTGCCTGGCTAAGACATTCCATGTCAAGTTGACTTTGAAAATGATGCACTGTCATCAGAAGGATTTTCTTCCCTTAAAAATATCAGCTTCCTCCTCCTCCACTTGTAACGCTGGTCTGCAGCTCATACGAGGACTTCCTTCAACATGGTGGTCAGTGAGGCTGTTCCTTCTCCGGGAACTGAGACGACACAGGACGGTCTCGGGGGACAACGAGAGCGTGGTGCTGCTATTTCTGCATTTGTGAGTTTGACTCCTTCACAACATTTTTAAAAAGTTTGTTCCATGGTCCCTTGTGTCACCCAGGCTCATGGAAGGGTGACAGGAATGTACACAGTTTGGCAAAACTCATGATAACACCAGCATTTCTTGCCTCCCTGGGTGGACCCGCGGCCTCATCTTGGTACCCTGGAAAGCAGGGCAGTTGGACTTGGGCAGAGCTGTCTGGTCACTCAGCCACGAGGGAGAACGGCTCTGTGCTGTCAGGCAGGGTCTGTGGTGTGGGGGAACTGTGACCAGAACTGGGAGAGACGTGACACGGAGGGGCTGGGCGGGGTTCTGTACGAAGGGACGGGACAGAGCCGAGGGAGCAGCCGCGAGAGGGCGGGAAGAAACAGGGGCTCTGGCCCCCTTCTTCAGACTTCCTCCTTAGAAAGACTAGCGGCAGGGAGAGGAAAACGGTGGTACTGAGTGTAGCGCAAGACAGTTCTGGACTTACAAAACTAAGGGTTAAAAATTCTTGCTATTGAAAACAACCTTCCACTCTTGAGAACTAGACGACTTGACCCTTATGAAGATCTTTTGAGACGATGAATAAAACTGCTGGTAAGTGTCACTTTTTTTTTTAAAACTACTTTTGAGTAAGGGAAAATACTTTCAGACTGTTTGCGACCGCTAAGGGATAACATGACATTTTTATGGGGAAAAAATACACACATAAAAAATTAGCAATTCCTATTTCTCACAGACTTTTGTTTGTTTGGCTCTGTCTTTCAAAGTTACCCAGAAAACATGTGGCACATTAATACAACACGATTTTTAAAAAAGTAATGACATTAAAGCATTTTACTGTTGCCAGCTTAACACAGAAGTCTGAGGAATGACAATCACCAAGCTTTATAACCTGTCATACAAGGTGATAAAAGACAGTAAGAACACAATGCATTTTTGAAAAACATCCATAACATGTAAGTGGTAAGCAAAGAAAAATCTTTCTGGGCTATGATAAATGTGTATCAAATGGAACACTTCTTAAAAAATGTCTTTTTAACAGAATCATATTTCTCATTGCATCTGACATTAAGAAGAATTGGAACTATTTTTCACTTAAATAAAAAGAATCTGAAAAACAATGAGGTACTTTACAAATATTAGAATCTACATGTAAACACACTTAAAAATGATTAGCAGACTTAAAAAAAACCCCACACACAAATGTTTGCTCTCTTCTGGAGCGTTATGTTAAAAGTTAATTTGGTGATTCCAGATAAAGATTCTTATTTATTGTGGTTTCTGGACTGAGGTGTTTTGTGTTTAAGTCAAACATTTTCAATCTAAATGTGTTTAACTTGTTAAACGCCACTATTAGGAATAGTGTGTTTAAGAAAAGATATAGAGCGAGAAAACGCTACTGTAAGACAAGGAATTTAGATTTCATTGAGAATAAAGCCGTATTTGATATCACAGACACATGTTCCTATTTTCACACCAGTCACTTATTAACACCAAATATTATACTTTACCTTTTCCCATTTACACAGGACAATACACCTGTGCAGATTCCCAGGCAATAACCATCAGTACCTACTACGCTTCCAGCAGCCAAAACGCTAAGCTGGCAAGGACCAGAAATTAACACTGAGAAGAATGGCAGCATGCAGTCACATGAAGCACTGAAAAAAGTGTTATCTACTCAGGTGTAGAGTCCTAATTCAGTCTTGAGGTGAGGCCCTGTAATCTCAGCCAGGGTGTCATCTCAGGGCAGTCTTTATCACCTCATATTGCAACTTTGACTGCTGACTCTGCTGTACAGCCTGGGGGTTTTAAAGAGATCGCCACCACAGGGTCCCAATTCTACTACCTGGCAGGCGAGGTCGCCTCGCCCCAGATTTGTCCCGGCTCAGGCTTTCTATCTTATTTCTCTGGGCCAAATGTCTCTTGAACACTTGTCTGAGAAGCACACCTATCTACAGTTCCTCCTGTCAGGCTGAATACATAGTGAGCCGCATGTGTAACAAAACTATCTCAAAATTTGCTGGTTTTGAGCCAAGAGAATTTGGGACACAATTTAAAATCTGAATGTGCCATGAGAAAAATTAAATGAAGGTAACTCAAGAAGGTTTTCTCACAATTACCAAATAAAAACTATGGAGAACTGTTTCTTCTAAATCTGCTTTTGTGACAAAATTTCATCATACTAATAGGATAAACATTCCAAATACCTAACAGAGTGTACCCTAATTAATTAACTGCACCGGAACTGTGTCAGCACCAACTATACATGCATACATATATGCACGTATTCATATACAGTTCATTAATGGTTAAGGTAAGTGAATGCTCTAATTATAAAAATGAAAATCAAGGGAAGGGGAGTGATATACTGAGGTTCAATTGATATTCTGAGGTTCAATTGATATTCTCTGTGTTGGCCACTTACTGTTAGTTTAACACCAGTTACAATTAACTCTGGGACTTTGAGGGCACATAATCAGTGACTAACCTTTTTTTCCCCCACACAGAATATTGGTACAGTATTTTATGAAGTTTTAACAGACTTCATGATATAATTTAGATCAGGACAAGAAAAGAAGTATGTAGCCAATATATTTCCAAAATGACTTTTTTCTAAGATTTCTCAAACATTTCATACAAAACAGTTACACTTCCCTGCTGACTATAGTTGGGAAATATTAAAATCATCATAAAATGCTTCTATACTTTCAGTATATCTGAATGAAAAGATACTACTATATCTAACCAAGATAGATGTACAATTCTGATTTATAGAACAAAAACATCCCTAAAATTTATTTTTATCTTTTTATATAAATTCACATAACCTAGATCATTATGATTGGATGCATACTATGAATATCAAAGGTGAATTTTAAATATACAGTGAATTCTGCTCTTGGTAACTACGTTTCATATATTTAAATGCTGTAGCATTTAGCTCAACATAAAACTTTTAAAAAGAATCTACAGGCTTCTGTTCAACTCACAGATTTAAGCACAGATTTTGAACAAAGTGAAAGAGATGAAATTTATGAAAAACTGTACAATAAAGGGAAAACAATGATGATACCTCAGTAAATATGCTTCCATAAAGTAGCCACGCTCTGGAGAGCACAGCTCTCTTCCTGACCCTTGTTGCCCGCCTCCCAGGTCTTATGGACTGTTCTGTCATTTATTCTTTCAGAATTGGTGCCGGAGGGCCTTCCGGTTCCTTTTAAAATATTTTCTGTCGTAACTTATTCTTATCACTGGCTCTCGAACAAAGAGCTATTTTCAGTGCATATTTTATGACTAGATTGCATAACCTGTATTTGAAAACTTGAAATTTGAAGATTACGTGATTATTTATAATGAACTTATCTCTTAATAAAGAAAGGGTTTTACACTTCAGAGATCATACCTACTTCCCTGGTGGTAAGAAAGACACTAGGAAATGCAATAAAACTTGTGAGCTGTAAGGTGGTGAGCCTGCGCAATGGAGGTGTGTAGTGTGACACAGCTGTCACTGTGTACCAAGGGAACCCGTGACCTGAGAGATTGTTGGGTCAAACTCATTAATACAAAGTGGGGAAAATCAGCAGGCAAAGCAGTCCTTATGAAAGAACTGAATTCAGAGAGAAAGTGCTTGCATGTTCCTGATAAAGTCTGCTCGAGGGATTCAAGGGTATTCTGCCAATACTTTCTAATCAACAATCACTGTGCTTGTGCACTTGATGTCTTCCTGGGAGAGACCAGGCGGACTGAAAGAGAGTAAAACCAGCCAGGGCACGCCAACAGCGTCCCCTTAACCATCTCGGAAGTGCCTTACAGAGCAGCTACAAAGCCAGTCCACGAATACAACGTCAGAAACGTGCAAGGTGGTGTCTACAATTTTCAAGATGCTTCATTCTCCCAATCTCATTCTTTGTCAGACGGAGGGAAAATAGCAAGATTATTAAATCTTTAAAGTCACACATGTCGCAGAGCATAAGACGACGGCTTCACTTCTTTCTCAGTGCAGGACACGCTTTCTCTTTGTGGCTTACACCTCATGACGGTACTTTAACTAGGCTCCTTTCAAAATGAAAAGTGAACAGTTTTCCAACGGCGGCCTTACATGATCTAAAACGATGATTAAATTCAAATCAGGCTGAGTTCTTAATCTGAGCTATTTCAGCCAGTGATTTTTGTAAAATGAAGAAAAGAATTCTAATAGCCAATTTGCATTAGCAAGCACTGAACTGCAGAATTCATCACTGTTTTCTTGAAAAATGTCATTAAACTTTAATAACAGTATGGTACTTTTAGGAGGTTCATAATTCATTAGCCATATTTTTCCATTTTTATCATTTCAGATATTTCAATATTGCTCACCCCGACCATGGAAAAATCATTATTTATGCCCAGTGGATTTATTTCTCCAGTAGTTTAGTTGATTCGGACTAGAAACTCCCACTACCATTGCAAGGTTGGGTCTTTAACAAATCTTCAACATTTTAAACACTTCTTTGAAAAAAAGAATAACAGCTGCTTGTCATTAGCTTATGTGCTTTAGGATGTCTTTTCAAAATGAGAGTATAAATCATTGTACATAAAATCAAAATAGTTAATATACATTTTCTGGCACTTTCTAGAAATTAGGCATTAAACATAAAACATCTTATAAATTTATATAATAAAATAAATGTTTACATTTTAATCGTCGCTAGATTACCTTAAGGTAGGAGATAACTTAGAAAGTCCACACCGTTGGGGTGTTGGCAGACCTCACCGGAAGTACACTTCATGTCCACAGCCCTTGGGAAAGGAAGCCACGGCTGCCGTCCACACGTGTGTGTGCGTGTGCCCCAACGTAAAGATTAAGGCTTTCTGCTTTGAAGGAATGGGTCCTGGACTTAAACAAGTAGAGAAGTACCATGGTATTTGTTGAAAACACTGAAAAAGGCTCTGATGAGCTTCTGAGCACTGCAGGAAAACAGTTCTGACTAGGAAAATAAAACAAAACATTTAAAACTGACCGCAGTGCTCTGGGGAAGGCTGCTGACTTGCAGTGCCAACGTAAGAAGGAGCGAGGACCACCGGCTCTCGTCTTCCAAACACGTCTATGCCGAAGGCCAGTGCCAAGCCCTGTGGGAAGATTTCCTTGGAATGAGCCATAGAAACCAGAAGATTTCAAGGGGAAAATGCCATATACTTTAAAGTTAGTAGCAGAAGAGAAAAGGGAAGAGAGGAAGAAAAACCTGACTCTTCCGAATGGCAGTATTTCAGGCGAGTGGACTGGAGTTCTTCCTTACAGCTCGGTTTCCTCATCTCTGGGACGCATCCTTGGAAGCTGAGATCTTATGAGGAGGGTGAGGGTGCAAGACGGAGTCTGTGCATGTGTGGGGGTGTGCCTGTCCCCAGGCAGCCAGAAGCACACGCAGGGGCAACCAGGTCTGCACCTCACTGTCTCAGAACCCGGGAAACGTCACGGCATATGAAATGGTCTTCAGTTTACTAAAGCAGCGTATGAAAGGTAGGTTGATGTCACCTATCTTCCACAGAAGAAATGTCCCCAGATGCTCATCACAGGCTCTCTGGAGAAGTCTCCTGCCTTGCTAGAGCCTGGTAACATCCCTGCATTGCTGCAGGTCTCCAATGCTCTCATAGTCATTCTCCTTGGGGACAAGGCCATGGTGGCCACTGGCCTCCTGAGGGGCCTTTCCTTCCTCTCTGTTTAGAGTCTGTATTGCTTCGTAGTCCGGCTCCAGCTCCTCACTGGGTCTCCCTGCGAGTGGAAGTTCGCTGACACTGTTGGGCATTTTCTCGAAGTCTTTCACCGTAGCATAGAGGTCATTACAGGAAGAGGGTGACCTCTGAGGAGCCCCTGGGACGGAGGAGCAGGCGGTCTCTGGTGCTTGAAGCAACTGTCCTGATTTATGCACCGACTGTCCAGGTTTATTCACTGAGGAGTACATGGCTGAGATCTAGAAAACAAAGGGCGAGTTGAATAAACATGCTTCCAGCTGCAAGCTGAGACTTCTTCCTTCCCATTTGGTGCCAAGATGCACACTCAGCCCTCACGGGCATCAGTGTGTGTGTGTGTGTGTGTGTGTGTGTGTGTGTTCACTATCTGTACTAATTCTGGACGACATTCCTAGAGATGAATGACAGACATTATCTTCAGCTTTGTAAGTAGATCAATGATATTTGCTTAATTCTGTGAAAACTGAATGCTGTGGTCTACCAAAGGCACTGAGGACAGCAGGAGAGGGGAGCTCGGGCAGCCCCAGAGCCTGGCCACACACCAAGCTGTGATTTCCCTATCAGAATGAAGTTTCACCTGAAAAGCCTCCACTGCTTTACCAAAAAGGACAGCAAACATCTAGACCAGTGCTTTTCCTAATGGGAGCGTCCCAGCCCCGGCAGCAGGACGCTGGAATTTACCAGGAGGGCAAATGCTCAGGCCTCACCCCCAAACCTCTGGCTCAGAGACTCTGCTGTGTGGGACCCCACAATCTGATGCCCACTAATCGTGAGCCCCACTGACTTAGACTACCCTACACTTCCTGTAAGAACGGCTGACGTGGCTGTTGGCTTCTGGGGCAGGGGCGCTGCATGTGCACAACCCTGTGAGTACCATATCCATCCTCTTCTGACCTGGTTGTATGTTATTTGTTAAAAAGTAATTTACAGACTAGGCTTAGTTTTTTTGTTGTTGTTGCTTTTTTTTTTTGTCTTTTTGAGACAGGGTCTCACTATGCAGTTCAGGCTGGCCTTGAGCTCACTATGAAGCTCAGGCTGGCCTCACACTCGCAACGATCCTCCTGCCTCAGCCTCCTGACTGCTGGGATTACAGGCGTGAGCCAGCTCAGGCTTAGTTTTCTTCTCTGGAAAATTCTTTCTCATCTGCAAGCAGCCAAGTCAGAACTGCCTTCTGGGGACAACTCATGGGATACTTTCCCATGGTAAAAGCAGCCTGTTTTCTTTTTTTCTTTCTTGAGACAGGGTCTCACGGTATAGTTCAGGCTGGCCTTGAACTCACTATGAAGCTCAGGCTGGCCTCAAACTCACGGCAATTCTCCTGCCTCAGCCTCCCGAGTGGTGTGATGACAGGTGCATGCCACCACGCCCAGTGTGAGAGCAGGCTGTTTTCTACGTATACCTTTGTGGTGTTGCTGATATGCTCTATAACCCTCTAATATCAAGAGAGATTTAATTTCCCAGTGACAGGTTAAATATACTGATTAAGAGGTTTTTGTGGAGTAGTATTATTTTATTGTTATAAATCATGGTTGGAAACAAGTAAAACACATCTTTCTTTACCTGTGTTTATTTTTCCCACAGTGATTCATTCATTCTAATACCCAGGAAATAAATAAACATGTTTCCTGACAGATGCTTGGCTTCCCAAGTGCCGAGGGACGCTTTCCTGCCTTCCCGTAGCTCACATACTGTGGGCGAGCGTCCCAGCTGGCCCAGGAAGCTGCTGAAGGCAGGCCTGCTGCGTGCTCACCGGTCATTTGCATGAAAACTCTTCCCTCCCAGCCGGTGGCTGGTGTTGCCAGGCCTTGACAGAGAAACCGTCTTTGGAAGACTTGCCCCATCGATCTGACTCTCCTACCGAAGAGCACAGTGCCATTCTCACCCTAGCAGGCTCGATGGGAAAACTGCTCTCAAAGTAAGAATCAGAATCCCTTTGAATAGAGGAAGACAGGGAAACCCACTGATTTTCACAGTGCAGTCCACACCTGCGACGTCTATTACCTAAAGGTGGTGGAAGCGAGGTCTGAGGACAGTGGATGAAGGGGCGAACCCCGGACGACAGTGGTGAGAGCAATCAGCACACCCTTCACTCCCCACCGGCGGGAGTAACAGCAAGGGGGCAGACACGCCCAGCGGTAACCTGGACGGCAGCCGCGGCCGTCTCTTCCCTGCCCCTAACGTCTTGCTCCCCTTCCCTCACCCCAGCTCCTCTTTGGATTCTCCAAAGAGGCCTTCATACTTCAGGCCTTCCTTCTTTTAAAAATCACAGGCTCTTTCATTAACTCACAGCTCAGTATCGACCCTGGGAGGGAGCCTCGTGTGCAGCTGGTGTCCCTGGAATTCCAATTATCATAAACGTTTCTCAAGCCTTCTAATATTCCTTGTGAATATTTGTCTTCTACCAATATTATTTCTAGGTTGGACACAGATTTCTCTTCAAGCCCCCTTTGCTATTCAGCTATTTAATTTTTTTCTCTTTAAAATCTTTCGTCTTTGTTACACATCTGGTGAACTGTTCTTCTGTTCCCATCAAATCATCCTTTTCTTCCCCTCATTTCTCATCATTTTGATAATTAGCGCCTTCTCACCCCTGTCTTGAACTGGCATAGCAGCATCTACAGCACAGGCCGCGGCTTTGGTCTGGGCTTGCCTAACACGACAGCGATATAAAAATAAATAATTTCTATACATTTTTTCTAAAATGAATGCTTGTGCATCAGAGTTCTTTATGTTGAAAATTCCTCAGCAGAACCAGATGCTGTTTCCACAAACCACAAATACAAGAAGCAAAGTACTCTAACATTTGACATAAAATCGATTCACTGTAAAGGGTTACTTTCCAGGTCGCTTTTGTATTTCGCTTTCCTACCCAAATAGTCACTCTGGCTGCGCCAAACAGACCGGGAGGTTAAGGGGCTGTCACGGGAACCACAGCCGTGGACTGCGGGTGTGGTAAAGTGGCCCTGGGATGGGCTGTGTGACGCTTTGGAGGTGCCCTTGAAGGGACGGGGTGACTGCACGCGGGACACTGAGGGAAAGGAGGTATCAAGCGTGATCCCCAGGGTTCTGGCTGTGTGACCAGGCAGGTCCACTCCAGGGGAAGGGAAGACACAGTGAGTTGGACAGTGTCACCTACAGAAAGCACCTCTGTCCTTGAACTTGCTACACAGACGTCTGCTTCACATTCTAATGTTCAAGTCCTCTACCGGAGCCGAGACACCTGCAATATATCTCAGTCCTACACGGTGTCCTCTGCAGAGAGTTCTAGTTGGGAGCTACAGGGAGCTGAGTAAGGTGTTCAGCCCCCCGTCTCAGCCCAGCTCCACGTGTACACACATATGCTAGCTTCTATGATGGTAAGGCTTCACTGAAAGTCTGACTAGTGAATTTTTTGCCCTGGTACTTGGGAATATATAATCTGTTCTTGCTGGCTGCTCTGTTGGACCTTAGCTCCAGCCTGGCATTGTGCTTCTTACAGTTATTCGCTCTCTGCCCCACAATCCCTCACTGAGACCTGTGCCCTCCTTCTCCCAGGTGGGGTCACATTCTCTGCCTCCACTATCCGATTTCCTGAACTTTCCAGCCCACTATTAAGTCCTTCTAATGTGCTCTTCCTAGTTGTTGACTAAAGCTCCTACGCTGACATTTCTCTCATCGCACCCCCCCCCCATACCCCCATACCGGGAATTGAACTTACGACCTCACAATTGCCAGACAGGCGCTGTGCCACTGAGCTAAATCCCCAGCCCTCTCATCTCATTCTTATTCTCTCCCTTCCACGTGTGTCTGAGCTTTCTCTCCTACTCAGTTTCTTCTCCGTAGCTGACCTGTTCATTGTGTCACCCTTCCTGGTTTCCCACCTGCTGGTCACCTTCCCCAAACAGAAAGCCAACATCTCATCTTGACCATGAGGCAGAGGCATAATAAGAGTCCTTCAGCTCTTTCAGACACAGGGAGACATCACAGTGCATTTCCACAAGGGGGACTTTCTAGACTTCATTACAAGAGCTTTTTAGTTACTTAAAAACAAAGAAAACCTACCTCTTCTTCTGTGAGCGTTGGATCTTCTTCCCGAGACTTGTAGGACAATGAGCTAAATCTCTGTCAGAATAAACACAAAACAAAAGAGACTAGTTTAAAGACAATAATCCAACCTCTTTTGGGCATATGTTTTCACATATCTGTCTATACAAATGTTTTCAGACTATTTCTATGGAACACCGAGTAATTATGCAAGGCACCTGAGAGAAAACACGTGCACAATCTGTTATTGTCTGACGTGCTTGGATACCCAGTGTTACACGGACAGAAATCTCTTAACTTAATATTAAAGTCTGCTGGTACAGGTAAGCACAAAATAAATTTTGAGAGTACTGTCATCAATGAAGGATTGATAATGGGTGGTTTTCTTTGTCAAATGCCAGAATCGTTCATTTCTACAGTTAGTGGAATTGTACATTTCTGTAGTTTGTATTTCTGTGGGACACGTTTGGAGACTTTCTGAAGCTACAACTCAGCTCATACTTTGTAGTTTCCCCGTCCGATTTCTCAGTGATTCTGGCTCCTGGTTCGCTAATTACCAGTTACACATTTCCTGTCTCATTTCTTGGTGTTCTCAACAAGTACCTACCCTTTAAAACTGACTTTCAGGTCCCTGACCTCGCGCTGCACTGATCTTGGGCTCCATCTGACCACCCCCACTTTCTCTTACAACTGCACCCAAACCTTTGCTCTCCCTCTCCCACACCCCAGCTCCTCTCAGGCCAACTTGCTGTTCAGGCTCTCTCTTTTCCTAACCCACTTGCAGTGATCCTTCAGCACTTGCTTCCCAGCCGTCCTGCCTATGTCCCCCTCCTCTTCACGTCCTTCCTTGCTGCATCACCAACCCTAAACTCAAGTCACGCGTAGCAACAGCAGCCCCCTCCCTGGTCATGGTGGACTTGAGCCTTGAGTGAGCTGCTCTGGATCATGTGCTGCTTCCCTAGTGCAGGCCCCGCTGTGCCAGTCCACCTGGCATTGCCTCTCTCTCTTCAAACCTCCAACTCCTCCTCTCTCAGTCTGTTTTTTTTTGGTACCAAGAATCGAACTCAGGACCTTGCGCTTGCCAGGCAGACGCTTGTACCGCTGAGCTATATCCTCGGCCCCCCAGCCGGACTGTAAGCTGTTGTTCTTGCTCCTACTCACTGAGAAAACTGAGGGAAGAAGAAGAAATGCCCCGCCTCCATTATGCTCCTCCTCCTGCGCAGCACAGATGAGCCTGCCACCTCCTCTCCAGCCAGTCCCCTCCCACGCCGGGCCCTGCCCTCACGCCGTGCTCAGGGAACTCTGTCACTCGTCGTACTGTCAGCCCGCCCCTCTCTACACGGTCATCGCATCCACTCCCAAGCCTGACAAAACAGCTCACAAACCCAACCCTACTTCTAGCTCCATCTACTGCCACCCTTCTCCACAGAAAACCTCGGAAAGAGTGACCAAATAATTGCTCGGACGATTTTTCTCTTCCTGTTCTCTATACCCAGTCACGTGTCTGCCTTCACCGTTCCAGGAAGCTGCTCCTGGTTCCCGACGACTGCATGCTGCCAGTGTGGCTTTTTCTCCTGTCCTACGCATTCACATTGGTTGTATTACTTTGGGTATATAAGGGGTGAAAACTTAGCCTGCACTTTTGAGTTTTATGAACATGTTCATACACATTTTTACTGATGTGCTTTTTTGGGGGTGGGGTGTACTGGGAATTGAACTCAGAACCTCGAGCTTGCCAGGCAGGTGCTTGTGCCGCTGACCTACATCCCCAGCCCTTTACTGATGTTCTTGAGAACTGATTTCACAGATAATATGTGGCCTATGTAGCCATCGCTGGGGTTCACCTTCTGACCATGACTCAAGAAGTGTTTAAGGCTACCACGGACTGACCGACTCTACTCGTCTTTCCCGTTAAAACCCCAGTAGGAGAGAACTTGACTTTCTCTGTGTATAGAAAAGAAACTTGACGTTCGTTGCCTGAAGCAGACTAGGTAAGTCCCTAGGAGACCGCGACAACTGGAGATGTGAGGTGCAGGTGGCTCAGACATCAGATTAGCACACCCAGAGGCTGTGGGTTGCTAATACACTTCCACAGAGCTTCCTTGAAAGTCTAAGCTTCAGCGCTACAGGTGAGTGCTTAGAAACTCACAGAGTAAGATCTCTCATGTGGTTTATAGGGAAGTGTATACAATCAGGTAGAACCACAGGACTTGCAAGTCAGCTCCCTCTGTACCTGTGGCTGTGCTTTGACTTCTGGGACCCTGGAAGGGTCAAGATCACCATGCTGTTTGAGAAAGCAGCAAGGAGGGGAGGCAGAATGTGTGGCAGAGTGTGGTGTCTCTATTTCATTCTTGGTCTTCAAAATAAGGAAAATAATACTTGGCCCCAATTAGACATGCTGTAAATCTTGGAAAATATCCAAGTAAGGTGCCAAGAAAGAACTATTTTCTAAACATGAGTTTTCACCGTTTTATTACTTGAAGGGGGAAAAAGCCAAACACAGCTTAACCTGAAACAGCTTTCATCATCCAATGAACTTGCAAGTGTGTCTATCTATCTCCCAGAAACCGTGAAAGTAAAACCCCCAGGACTAGCTAGGCTCCTCATCAGGACAGAAGCCAAGAAGCCCAAGTGCTGGGGCCCACCTTGTTGGTCTCCCCAGTCCCCTCTGCGGTCCGCTCTTCTGCCGTGCTCGCCTCCTTCTCCTGAAGGTTTTCATTCTCATCCAGAAGCTTCACAGGAACAGGTGGCGGGGCCTCCTCCTCCGGCTCACTCGGGCTTCCGAGAATGCTCTCTGCATTAGCACTCTGGCGACACTTTTTGTTTCTGTCCACAGAGGCGTACTCAGCAAAGTCTGCTTTGTTCTCTGTTTGGGGCCCTGGAAGCTCTTTCAACATGGGAGTCGACCTGGACTTGCTACCGTGGCCCCTGTCCAGGTGTGTGGCCGTCGCCACCTCCTTGATTTCCTTCACGGTTTCGTACAGGCAGTCCTCTACCATGTTCTCCTGCGACGAGCTGTCCTTGAGCACCTCATACGGCCCCTCGGCGCCTGGACCCTGCTCAGGGTCCGCGCTCCTCTCTGTGAGCATCGCGTCCACAGCGCTCTCGGGGGGGATTCTGGGCAGCTCCCGACTCTGATGCCCTTTGGGCTTCCCTGTGCTGTCCTGCGAGTCCAGCAGGTCCGACGCCGAGGTCTGGACTTCCTCGTAGTGTTGCATGCAGGTCAGGGTGCTGTCTTCTGAGAGGACTGAAGCGACACAAGTGTTAAAGGCGGAGAAAGACAGTTCCATCAGTAACTGCTGCAGCTCATCTGCAGATGATCTGGACTACACTGTGGCTCACTGCTACTTTCCCTACTTATCTCTCCCAGTAAGACTTGTGTGGGCAGCGTCCCACGTGGCCACAGGGTGCAGGTGGGAGACTGGGCACAAAGGAAAGGGGGATGTGTGTGGGCTCGCCTCTCTCGCCCTGCTGGCCTCTCTCTGTTGGGAGGGAGGACTCGGTAGCCACCTCCCCCCACAGGTCACTTTTGTCTGCCAGGTGCAATGGAAGCAACAGGGCAAACATGGGCGCAGAGCCAGACACAGAAAGGGAGCGCCTGGACAGCCCGGGATCTCCAAAGGTCTCCCCCGGACTGCGCTCCCCAGTGTCCCTCCTTCAAAGTAGGACGTCCAAATGTGAGATTAGGGACTGCTATAGAAATGTTACCATGTTAACCCAGCTAATCATCCTTTATCAAATGGTTTTGGAGCACCTGCTACACACACATCAGGGGTAGTTCAAGGCCATAGCAATACATCCGCCAACAGAACAGTCCTTGTGGCGTTTACATCAGAGCGAGCAAGCTTTTATGTTACTCTAAACTTCACTCTGGAGGGCTTAGAAATAGTGTTCCCAAGGGGAGGCGTTTGGGGCCCTGGAAATCTGGGGAAATCATAATGGATCCCTCAACCTTTGAGCTTAACTGCCCCGTGTCCTAAACTCACCCTGAAAGGGTGGCCTCCTGTCCTCTGTCATGGAGCACACAGAATGGACACTAGTGTCCTCACCACCCCTCAGTTCCTTATCACCAACTGAGGCATCAGGGTGACCTCCCGCCCCAGCAGAGGTGCTCTGCAGGCCGTGAAGTGTGAGCGGACCGAGCAGCTCCTTCTGTCCACAGCGCAGGAAACGAACGCTCGCTGTGCACTGTGGCTCTGAGCGCGCGACCCCAGGCTCTCAGAACCTGGCTCACGTGGTGAGTCCTTAGCTCAGGGACCACAGAGCTTAGCAAATGATTAACATCTTGGAATTGCACATTAATAAATTTGAGTTATTTTATGGTACTAAGTTTGCAGTCATTTGTTATAGCAGCGTAAAGTTTCATTTTTAAATGCTGGAGAGTAACAGTGTTGTTTTAAAAGGTAAACATAGTAGTATTATGATTGAGAAGTTGTCCCACAGGGCTTGGGTTAGTTAGTACACGCGCGCGCACACATGCGCACTCACACACGCACATCTTAGAGCAAGGCTTGGTGCACAAAAGGCAATTGGTTGATATTTTTGTTTGTCTGCTTTTCTTTTGGAGACAGGGTCTCACTATGCAGCCCAGGCTGGCCTCAAACACGCAGAGATCCTCCTGCCTCTGTCTCCCAAGTACTGGCATTAAGGGTGTGTGGCAGCATACCTGGCAATCAGTAGATATTTGATAATAGTCACCCAAAGGAGATGTTTGCTAAAACTGGCGGTCATACTCACAGAGAGCAAGAACATGTTTCCCAGATTCTGAGCTACAGTTTTTGAAGCTCAGCACTCTGGTAGGTGATGAGGCCATGTCAGGAGCGGGTATTTTTGCAGAACTTACTGTCACCATTGGTGAGTGCCCCATTCTGTTCACTGCTAACGAGAGCCTCTGTCGCCAGGCTGGTCACTGAATGGCTGAACATCTCCTTGTCTGAAGGCTGCAAAACACAAACGCATCCACACTGCTAAGACTCTCGGCTGCGTGGCATGGGGGAACATGTATGGCTTTCCCAAAATTAAAGCAGAACGAGTAAAACCAGCACTGACTAGATTCAAACTAGGTATCGCAAAATTAAATCGAGTTCCTTGGTTAGTCACGTTCAATAGCTTAACAGTGGAATACATTCCAGGGGGTTCTATGGGACAGCGTGGTTCCAGAATCTCAAGGCCACGGGCAAAGCTTCCCACCGGGTGACCTACTAATGGGTGCAGGGAGGTTATGACATCTTAGCCCCTGAGCTCAGGCAGGGAGGGACCAGAAGTTCCTCTGCTGGTCTGACCTGACCCAGGAGGGAGCAGCTGCCTCCCACAATGGTGCTGTGAAATGCTGTTCTCACAGGTATGCATGGAAAACATGAAGAGGCATCGCCCTGTCAGCTGTGGGCACAGAGATGGGGACAGACACAGCCAATGCCGTTGGTTTTGAAGACTATTCCGGAACAGCCAAGTCATTAGCCTCAAGGTTCACAAAACAATCACACACTAAAAAGTAGCTTTGCAAACCTTTCTTATGCTCAGACACACACACAGGACATTTGGGGGAGGGGAGGATGGCTTGCTGCAGGACTAGAACGGACAGATACCTAGAACAATGTGTCAGGCTCGGCTCTCATGAAGGGTGGTGGAAACAAATTGGTTCTGTATATGTTTCTTGAAATGCCCACCTGGTCCCAGGCAGCTGCCTGCGTCACCGTATCCACCTCCTGCCCCACTGTTCTAGTGGCCCACGAGACCCAAGAGCAACCTCAGGCTCCAGGATCCCACAGAGAAAGCTCAGATGTACACAGCACACGGGCCTTGGCTAAAGGGCTCACAATTCTCTGGCTCCTGACAGAGAACCGAGTAAGAGCGACAGCACACAGCCCACACTGGGTGGCAAGGGCAGGTTTCCTGCCTGGGAGTCTCTGCTTTGTGAGGAGCCTGACGTGCGAGTGCTGGTGTCCCACACGGGGTGTCCCACCGGGGAGGAGCAGGTGGGGAGATGAGCCCCCAGTAGGAAAAATGACCCCAGCTGAAGCCCTACAGCCCCCGCCTGAGCTCCATGCCCGTCAGCTTCTGTGGAGGCAGAGTCTGCAGGACGGACAGGACCGATGAGCTGCGCGCTGTGTGTGTGCGCGTGTGTGTGCGTGCACATGTGCACCCGTGTGTGACACTCTCACAGGTGTGCACAGTGTGGGGATGAGGCGGTGTGCTCGAGGAGGTGGAGGTGAGGAAGAAAGTTCAGAGAGCGAGCTTTTCTCTTTCTTCCCTTGTTTTCTGGCAGTACTGGGGGCTGAACCCAGGGAGTGATGGCCCTAACCCTTTTCTGAAATTTGGTTTTGGGACAGGCTCTTGATCAGTTTCGCAGACTGGGCTTGAACTTAGGTCCTGCTTTAGCCTCCTGGGTGGCTGGTATGAGAGGTGTGCTCTACCAAGGCCCATAAACCTATTCTTTAGCCACCTGCTAATTCTTTCTATCTCACCCGGGCTGCTGCCCGACCCTGGGCAGACAGCTGGGTCCAGAGGTCTTGGGGGGCGTGCACCTGCGCATCAGCAGGAGGGCTGGTTCTAACTCTCTGGCCCCCGCCCAGAGAACTCCCACTCCTCATGAGCCTCCAGCTGCTGCTGGGGTCGGCCGCCTTGGGAAGCCCTGGCCAGTAGGGGAGCTGGGGTGAGGGCGGTCTCCCCACCCCTCAGGGTTCCCCTCCGATTCCCCCACAGCAGCCACCATACGCAGAGTGGACACTGGGGACAGACGGGAAACGGGGACAATGTGGATGACATGGCTGGAGGGAACGAGGTGAGAAGAGGGTCCCCGTGGAGCTGGCCGAGGGCCCCAGAGCGTGGTGTGGCTGGTGAGGTGGGTACTGCGCAGATAGGAAGAGGCCAGAAACTGGGGCCGCAGGAGAAGTTGGGGTGTCTTCACAACTTCCTACCCCAAGACCTCGGGTCAGGCGGCCTGTGCTCTGCCTGTGCTCTGCATAGGTCTGCAGGCTGTGAGTCTGACACGAGATCTCCTGGGATCTACTTGATACGTCCACACTTCCTTTGTGCCCACTTCCCCAGCCAGTCCGTGCCTTTTGAACCACACAGCACCTTTGGACCTGCCCTCAGCTGCTGGGACTGCTTGGCCACGCATAGGAATGCCCAGGACAGCCTCAGGCTGCTCCTCGTGAGGAGGGCCGGGAAGGTACAGCAGAATCGGGCTGTACCGAGTGCGGAGGATGCCAGGAGCTGACGAGCTTCACAACCAGCTGCGACGGGCTGAACTCGCCTCCCTCAAGCCCAGGCCCTGTCTAAGCCCTAACTCTGGTACTTCAAGATGTGGCCTCATCTGGAAACAAGGAAACTGCCAAAGACTCGCTGGGGTGAGGTCACGTGAGGGTGGGCCCAGGGTGGTGTGCCCGCTCTTCCTGAGGATGGGAAACCGGGGCTGTGAGGTGTGCGCAGCGGAACACGCCTGGGGCGTGCCCGAGATTGCTGGCCAGCACACAGGCTCAGAGAGGGCCTAGCACAGACCAACCCCGACAGCTCCCTGCTGTCGGGACTTCTGGCCTCCAGAACCACGAGGCAGTAGTTTGTTACTTAAATCACCGGGTTTGCCACAGTACACTGGAGCTGGGCAGAGGCCAGACAGCAACACTCCCGCAGAGCTTGGAGCCCTCCAAGGGTCTTTCGGGGGGCTGCACAGCTCATCCACTGCAGAATCCTGCTCTGCAACCTGGCAACCGCGCGGTCTCCAGCCACAGCGACCACAAACCCGAGCAAGGGGGGCGCAGCCCCGCCTCACAGTGCACCTCCGCTCAGCCCCGTCCCTCAGCGCTGCTCAGATCGCAGAGCGGGACACACTGGGTAGGTGTTTTAAGCACACACACGTGCACACACGTACGCACACACAGGCTCACCACGTTCATCAGGTTCTCATGGTCCCCACTGTGCTGTCTTGGCTTCTTTTCTCTGAAATGGAAAATAAAACATTGTTCCAATGTCAAATGTGCTTCTTAGAATCAAACATATGCTACCCTTTCCTAGGCTAATAGCAATTTTTTTTGCAGTACTGGGGATGGAACTCAGAGGCTCATGTACCCTAGGCAAGTGCTGTACCACTGAGCTACACCTCCAACCCTTTTTACGTTTTATCTTGTGACAGGGACTCCCTAAATCACTAAGTGGCCCAGGCTGGCCTTGAGTTTGTGATTCTCCTGCCTCCATCTACGAGTAGCTGGGATTACAAGTGTGCGCTCCTACACCTGGCCTCAACTTCTGAAGCTCTTATTTTAAGAACCATGCTTATTTTGCTGCCAGAGGAAAAACCCAGTCACTTGACCTCTGTGGGTATCAGGGGTGTGAGGAAACGGAGCCATAGCGAGGGCCTATTCCTCTCATGAGCACCCTTCCTTCAGGTGAGACTACCAGTCCACACCGTGAGCACTGAGGCAGGGCGCTGCCTAGAAGCTGTTTACATCTAGAATAAGGAAATGAGTTATATAAGTTTTTTCTTAGAAAATTCAGTCAATTATTTCCTCTCTTAAAGTGTACAAAGTTACACACTGCAACGGGACAGAGAAAGTAAAGTAAATACACATTCTGGCATGTCAGGAAGGCTACATGTTCTCAGGGTGAGTCATAAGTACTTCCAGTCTATGGAAAAGCCTGTGGAGTAAAAATAGAATGTTTTTACTCAGGAAACTCTAAAGAAAGCCAAGGGCGGCAGCCATTTCCCCTTTATGTATGAGGCCAGAGCGACACCTAGTGGGCCCGTGAGCACTTGCAGGGGCAGGACTTCCAGGGCCCAGTACTCAGATGGAGAAACTGGGCAGGAACTGGGAGGCTCTCTGGGGCTACAGAGTCTGGCTTTCCCACTCCTGACAGAGTTTAGGGTAGGAAGCCATGTCAGGTTTTTCGGTGACACTGGTCAAATTTTCCTGAGGGCCAGAAGAAGCTGTGGCGTGTAGCTGGCTCAGCTGGTCCACATTCGCTCCTAGCATAACACCAGCAGCTGCGTGAAAGTAACCACTCCTGCGCGTCTGCAGAGCTCGCCCTGGACAGGAAGAACTCTACTTCTCTCTGAGCAAAGATCTCTTGGGGGTGGGCACTGGCATTTTATACGAGGCAGAGGACACAGAAGTACAATTTCAAAACAAAACGAAAAATGCATACCAATTCTCCCGCACACGGTATGTCTCCTTTCCAGAAAAATGAATCTGTAACTTTAGAAACTCCCTCCCTTCCCGCTCCCTCTCTTCCTGACATGGTCCTGCTACACAGTTTCAGTCTGGTCTGGACCCCGCGATCCCCCCGGCTCACTCTCCTGAGTGCTGGGATTCCAGATAGGCACGGCCTGGTTCTCATCACTCATTTTTAACGGTAAGTGACCCTTCTAAAGCCACATAACACCAAACCCCTCAGTAACTTACGCGGAGAGGTGTACACCACACTTCAGATTTCACTGTTACACAGATTAAAGAAACTATAAAGTTTGACAAAGATGTGTTTCAGAAGAGCAGCACGAATTTCATTCCGAGAAATTTAAAGTATAACAGCGGCTCTTTGTGTTGCTCCCCAGGGAAATCCATACGGATTTTCATCTGATTAAGAAGGACTGTCCTGAGGCGCAGGGAGCCACAGCTCGCCTTAGGCACAGCTCTCATGGCTGAGCAGGGGGAGCCACAGGTACCAGGCTTTGTAGTATGAAGACGCTGGAACAGGTCAAGGCTCCAGGTGACGCTCTTTGCCCTCACCTGTCACAAGTCGAGCACAGAAAGATGAGGAAGAGGATGAGGAAGAGCACGGCGACGGCGGCCAGACTTCCCCACAGGATGAGCGGCGTCTGTCCGCTGCTCAGCACACTGCCTGGCGGGCCCATGGCGGGGACAGGACACGGCACCGCTGATGGAGAGGTCAGTCGCTCGGAGGCAGCCACATGGGCGGCAGGGCGCTGTGTCTTCCTGCGGAGACCGAGGCGTTTGGAAGTTACTTTCCATGTACAGCACCAGAACCCTGCACAGGCTGAGCGTCCCTACCTTCCTGACGCCTCTGTGACCAACCGGACAGGCTTGCGTCACACCCAGGTGCACCGAAAACCAGAGTAAAATTACTTCCAGGCAATGTATGAGGAAGAGATGGAACATAAATGAACTTCACGCTTGGACTTGGGTCCCTTTCCCTACATGCCTCAGTATGTTCAATATTCCAAAATCCCCCTGAAATCCCAAACACAAACATTTCTGTTCCTCATATCTCACAGAAGAGAAATGTAACCAACACTTCATTTCCGGTCAGGAGCAAGGCCTCAGGGCAAAGTCAGGGAAACTCGACCCAGAGCTTAATATGGCTAAGTCCCTTCTGTGTCTGCAGCCTGCAAGTCCCGATGCCCGGCACACCCTTGGAAGCAATGGCGTCGTGTTATCTTGATATGTCTGGGAGATGGACTTTTTATGTCCTCAAATAAAGTTCTCAAGTATCCCACGGTAAATGAATCCATATTTACTTGGATTCACCTTTTTACACCACAATCATACAAAATATTTATTTTTAAAGCTTTTGCAAACATGCAGTTCATCGCCTGTCCCTCACTGCCGTCGCTGCTCTCCCCAAGTCCCCAAACCCGCTTTTCTCTTAGAAAGCTGAAGGTCAATTCAACTAATGACAGGCTCTCCCCTCACCTGCATACACAGCTCCCTGCCACAGGATGGGACTTTATTTTCAGGGCTGGTTTCCACTAAGCTGCCATGAGCACCCAAGAGCTGTATTTTCACTTGAACAGCTGGAGGAAGGTGCTAAGAATACAACCCAGACAGTAAATAAGACCCATTTACAGACAGCCACAGATGAAGCATTAGGAGCGGCACTTAGTACATTCGGGAGCCTGGTATGTCCCAGGGCCTCTGCTAAATGCTTTCCCCCTTTCGCGGCCACTAGCCCATGTCAGTCCCTGTTTCACACACAGGGAGCGAGTCCCAGCAGAGAGGTAACTTGCCCCGAGCATCAGCCACAGGAGCGAGCAGTGGGGGTGAAGGTGGCTCCCTTGACCCAAACCCATGCTCCTAGCTCCCAGTGAAGTTTCTCGTTGCTGGTGGCCCCTGCTCCCTGCTCCAGCCTCAGTTCTTCTGTGAGATCAGCCAGATGGCTTTAAGTATTACAGATATTTTGAAAATAGTGTTATCAGGGTAATGATGACCTGTCAGCAGATAGACCTTGTTTGAAGAACAATCTGGTTAGCTCTAGAACATTCTAACTTGAAAGGAATAGTCTGGAGCTTCGTGTGGTGAATAAAGAAAGCAAATATTTTTGTCTTACAACAACGGCTCACAAGTCAATATACTGCTTTTCTTGAACAGGGTGTTGGTGGCTACATTTCCCTTTGCTGCAGTGACAGCTCCGTGACTGGCCGCCTCGGAGAGCACACATGAGAGCAGCTCGGTGGTGTCTTCATGACAAACCAGAGGGCGTCTAGGGAGAAATGTGAAAGCCATTCTGGCACAGGCTGGACCAAAATGTTTCCAGGTGAAACGTGATCACCTTTATTTGACCATGCAAGGTAAATAATACCAAAGAGCTGAAGAGTAAGGAACTTTAATATATAATGCTCGAGGAGAGGGTTCTGGGAGGTAAAGTGAATTGTTTTCCTCAGGCTATGAGTCAACATGAGCACCTCCCTCTAAAGCTCTATAAATACGTAAGTTAGGACTGCCTGAGTAACACAGCACTTTTTTCCTCTTCTGTTTGGTTGTACATTGTATCTGTAAATACTACAGGCACGCAGTAATAAAGTCGAATTGCTTTTCATGTTTGCACTGGATGCCCGTAACAAATGAAAATAACCACCATTTCCCTTGTGATTTGTTGATGCAAAGAATAATTCACTTTAAACCGAGTCTACAAATTGGCACTACAATAGGGTATGAAAATACATTCTAGCAAGCACCTAATCAGGGAGACCTATGAAAATAGATGAAGTAGCTTTTTATATACAGTATAGTTCCAAGCCATAAAACATTTTTAGGAAGCAGACAAAAGATCTACCTTATGCACAGACGTTTGTTTGCTACTTCATTCATCCACCAGCAGATTAATCAGTGCCTACTTATAAAGGGCTAAGTTCCTAGAAAATTGCTGGCTGTGTGAATTACTCAGCGCATCCAGAGATCCACCCAGCAAGCCTTGCAAGGATCTGTAGCATCTTTCTGCATCCTGTACCTATTTCTCTCCTCTCCTCTCGCTTCTCTTTCTCAGCAGCAGGAGGCAGACAGGGTAGAATGAGATGTGTGGGGTGGTAGTCTCTTAGGACAGTGCGGGGAGAAAGAGGATGAAGGGGACCATCACAAGCTGCCGAGTAAAGGGTGGAATTCAGAGAAAATGTGTCAAAACTCCTGGCTGACTCCCCTTCAATTAGAATTTTCTGAAAAGCTACTCAAAGAAACATTTCTTCGAAAAGTTCTTAACCGTGGACAAAAATCTTACAGTGAAAAGAACAATGATCCGGTGCCGGTTTCTGAGTGAGGCAGTGTAATCCCCAGGGCCAGGGGTCCTACTGTTCTGGTTTCCACAGTAGAGGACTCCCAGGGCCACTCTGCAGGAGGACCGGTGGCAGAGGTGGGGGTGCTGGGGAGGATGGGGCTGTGGCAGGTGCTCCCTTTTATTGCGTGCGTGTGTGTGAGATTCACAATGTGACCTTTTTTCTTCGCAGCAGTCCACTCAGGGGCATCGTTCCTATGTTCCTGTGTTAGATATCTTCTCTCCTGGTCTCTTCTGGACTTGCTTCCACACCTTTGCTGCCCATTCTTTTTTGACTGATACCTCAAATTCTGACAGCTTATGTACAGTTGGGTCAGAAATACTTCCTGCCACCATCCCATCAATATGGGTACACGGGACTCTTCCCTCTGTTCCTCTGCATGTAGAGGGACTGGCCTCACCCATGTGTACAGATGGACTGGCTCCACCCATGGGTGTAGAGGGGTTGATGCCTCCTCCAGGAGTGCAGATGGACGGACCCCACCCCAAGTCTATAGAGGGGCTGACCTCACCCTCCACGTGTGAGATGGACTGACCTCCCCCATATATGTGATGGACTAGCCTCACCCACTGTACGGATGGACTGGCCCCACCCATGTGTGTAGATGGACTACCCCACAAGTGTGTGGATAGACTGAGTCTTCCCCATGTTTACATGGACTTCATCACTGGCTGTGCTGATGTAAAATCATGGCTGGATATTAGAATTTAATACAAATATGGTATTGCTGAATAAGAGGCAATGGCACTTCCTCCATTCCTTAATTCTATATCATTTTGGGTTACATAGGAACTTGCCTTTTGGCCTTGAGAAGGGTTAGTGTCTGAGGTTATGGGACTTCTATTGTGGATCCTTTAGGAAGTGAGTTTGGTTATTTATTTTTGAACTAATAGCTCAATATTCTACTGTCATTTTAAAATATCCATTTTATGATTTTAGTGAATTAGCGATTCAATCAGAAAAGCCACGGAGATTTACTTCACAAGCAGATGCCATTTCAAACCACAAGGTGGCAGTAGAAGGCCACCTCAGCCCGATCAGTAGCCTGAAGGAGAGGAGCTGAACGATTCTTGCTGTATCTTAATCTCCGATTTCAATTGTCTTCAGTAGCCGGGACTATCAGCCACCAAAATCCGTCCCAACGCAGAGAAGACAAAGCCCGGTTGAAATTAAGGAAAGGGATACACCAAAAGGTAGCCAGTTACCTCCTCAGCCACATCTCCGTAACAGGCAGGTGCTGCGTCACCGCTGATTCTGTAGCGGGTACTCCGGCAGAGCTGCGACGGCCAGCAAGGCCAGCCAGAGCCCAGGCACTCTGCAGTTTCTCTGAGGTAGGTGTGGGTCGGTAATGAGTCATTACCATCTACAGCTGCCCTCCTCAAGCCATAATTAAGGAGGTGGAAGTCGCCTCCAGGGGATGACCCTCCGGGGGATGATAAGGAGGTCGAAGTCCTACACCCATGGGAATTGCTCATTACCAGGTGTGGGAACCAGGCACTATAAGGACACTTTATGGGCCACAAAGTAACCAAACAAGTTTAATAACGGCGGAGGCGCCTAACTCTCTGTCCTGTGATTACACTGGTGCGTACACAGACCAAGCATTCTGTTTCCCGAAGGAGCTTTAAGCTCCAGTACCCACGCTGTGGTATGTGTCACCTCAGACCATCAGACTCGGAGTGACACAGGCTGGCCTGCCCCTGGGAACTCAGTATAACAGGAAGTCCACCGGGTCGGCCATACACTGGGAGTCGCTGAGACAAACGTTCACTGCCCCACTCTGATTAGATAGAAAAGGTCATTTTGCCTACACAAGACTGTCACCACAATTTCCAGTTTGGTTCCTTCACTGAGTCAGGGCAAAAGTACACCCAGGAAGTACAAAGGAGGAAGGCAAGATGCTGAGGCACAATTTCTTGGGCCTAGTTTCCTGGGTCACTTCATAACGTCCCTATCATTTTGTCCTGCACAGCGCAGGAGAAGCGTGTCACCTGGAAAGCCTTCCTACCGCCAGACTGAGGGGACACTGTTCTTAAGATGAGCCAGGCCCTTGTCCTAAGAGCAAGTCATAAATCCTCATGGCACCTGGCAGCATGACCTGACTACTCTTCATACATACCACCTATGGGTCCACTCAGGAAATGGGAAAGTGGGCCCTTTGGGAGACAGGTGTGTGTGGCAGTCACTTGTCTTCAAGAATAACACGTCATGGAAATAATGCAGGAAAGCCAGGCTTTGACTGGCTTAGGAAATGACATGTAAGATTTTTTGACTGGGTAAAGAAATGACATGTAAGATTGCTTTTCCAAATGTTATGATCCAGAAACCAAAGTTCATTTCATTTTGAGAGGGGCAGGAAGAAAAGCAGGAAGAGAGAGGGCAGGAGAGGGAGAGGAAGAGCGAGGAAGGGAGGAGAGGGAGACAGGAAAAGAGACAACGATCGGGAAGAGCTGGTTCTTTCCAGAAGCCCTGTGGCGTGCATCCTGGACAGAGCCCTGGGACCTCCGCGCACTTGGGTTAAGGTGACCTGTCCCGCACAGACCAGGCGGGCAGCGGCTGGAGAGGCTTCCTTTCTTGCATGGTCTCAGCAGGACCCGCAGGAAGTCTGCAGTTCGGGCCTCGGGCTCACTGTGCTCTCCTTGCCTCTCCTGCTTGCTCACCAAGCTAACTTCAAAGTCCCCTGGGGCAGAGATGAATCACTTCGTGCTCTAGGCCCGGAATCTACATGACCTGAAAAGTAGGAGCCAGGCAGGACAATTTTACTGAATACATGTTTCTGCAGGACGGATGGTGAGTAGATCCCAAGTGGACTCTCAAAACGCAAGTTTAATTAATATTTTGTACGGTAAAGGAAAGAAGGAGAATAAAAGCGGTGATCCCATTAAGCAACCCATTAAAACCAGCCCGGAGTGTCTTCAGAACAAGCCCTGATCGCAGACAAACGCAGCTTCCCGGCCACTCCGTCACCAAAGCAGCCGAGCGGCTCTTGGAAGTCACACACTGGTGTGGCGCTGCCACCCATGCGTACTACCCCGGCTCCAGCAGCCTGCTGACACCGCAGGCTCCTGTCCTAGGCTTAGCGTGACGAGAGCCCTCCTTAGCGGTGACAGTTTCCTCTCTTCCCATCTCCTACACACCTGATACTTCTCAAAGGAAGGGGAGCTCTGGACACCCTGGGGCCGCGTCTCCCATTTCTCACTGACGAGGACCTACCCTTTAGGTTTCAGCTTAACCCTCCCTCCCTCGAAGCAGCTTTCCTGACGTCCAGTGCTCTCCATGCCGGGCCCCTCCCCTTCCTTCGTACCTTCACTCCACGCTGAAGTCAGGCTGCGACCTGAGGGTCCCCACGGCTGGCCTCTGTGCCTGCCCAGCTGCAGCCGTGCTGTGGGGCACACAGCGGGCACTCGATACAGATTCACTGTGCCAACAGTTGAGAGGAGGTGCCCGTTGCCCAGGTCTTGGAAGATGTAGGTGTCCGGAAAGTCTTCTCAGGTGACGCTGGAGGCTGACAGCTGCACAGGGTCGCGGAGGTCGGCCTGGCTGGCCACAGGGCACGCCTGTCTCGCCCACCCCTCCCTCCTCACAGTCACCGGCCTGCTCCCAGGCTCCCTCAGGGCCCCGACAAAGAAGCCTGACACAAGTCAGTGGTGACTCACAGGCTCGAGATAAAGACACAGAAAAACCTAAATGAGTACTTTTCCACAGGTCCTTCACGAACCCCTCTGACCCTGGGGTGAGTGATACTGAATCTATTCTATGAATGAGGAAACTGGAAGTCACACTCAGTGCCTTGCCCAGGGTCACAGGGCAACAGGTTTCCTGACTCAGTGTCTCCAGCATTTGCTACTCCAGGAGGCCAAGTGCAAGCAGAACCGACTGCCAGGTGGTCGTCTTGTCTGGGACAGGAGGGGCCAGGTGAGGACCGGGCAGCCGCAGCCACCTTCCCAGCAACCTCTGTGTCCTCTATCATGACTAGTTTGGGCACCAAGGAGAAGAAAGCACACAACCAGTCTGTCCCCTGCTTGTTCCCAGTCACGCATTCACCATGGACGGTCCTCCCTGGGGACCTCGAGAGCTTTCCAGACCTCATCTGGCGCGACGTGGTGGGTATGGTGTTTACACGCAGCCGGTTTCCTGAGACGAAGACTATTTACAGTCACACTTGGTTAAACACTGCTTTGCGCTGTTTCTGTTTGGCTTTTGAGGCTCAGTGGTTCAGTCACGTAGTTTTTCATAATAATAAATGACTTATCCAAAAGTAAACTTCAGTTTCTTTGCTGAGAGAGTTTCAGACACGCACTCTCGGACACACATGACACAATCCAATCTTCCTCCCATGGTTCACGATGTTCGAAGATCAGATTGGTTTTAACACTTGTTTAGAAGGCGGCAAACACGAACGGCCTCCTGCCTGCCACGTGTGCCTTCGCTTACAGAGCTCTCACCCCACCATGCTCCCCGAACTTGCATCAGAAGAGGCTGATTCTGGAAAGAGGAAACCTCGGATGGAGAAACAGAACTTAGGAGCAGATGACAACTTATTCACGTAACAAGGAGATGTCAACAGAGGCATTCTGTCTGTGACAACAGCTCCCTGCTGTCTGCTGCGCTGTAGCTGCTCTTTCCCAGTAGGTACTGCTGACTTAATGTTCTATCGGCGCTGGCAAGATGGCCTCAGCTTATTACTCAGGGACAATGCATCTGAGTTACGGTTACATTTAAAGTATTATGAATTCTTTATGTTATAAAATAGCTAGACAAACACTTCTTGACTCTGAAAAAACAGCAGCAGATGCTCAGAACGCTCCCTGCAAGTTACGTGCTGGTGTGACTGTGACCTGCTTGGGGCTGGGGAGACGTCTCCAGTGAGATGAGATGAACTTGATCAGAATAAGTCAGAGCTTGTACTTGAAAATGTAGCTTCTTGCGACCGATCCTCACGGCTGTCTTCCAGGAGAGGGTAGGGAGGCAGATGACTCAGGCGCCCCAGGTAGAGGAAGGGATGGGGCCAAGATTCTAGCAGAGTGGAGCTTCTCAAAGAGTGAGTGTACCTTGGCAATAGCCCCTGGGAACTTGTTGAAAATGCGGAGTTTTGGGCCCCTGGGGCTTAGGAAGTGGAAACTCCGGAATGAGTTTTAACAAGCTCTTCGGCTAACTGAGATGCACTCTAGAGTCCTCGAACAGTGCTTTTCAAACTGTCGTGGCCCGTGGATGGTCTGGACATCCTGTCAGGGTGCACGCCGATTCAGCCGGTCTGGAGGGGCCCGAGCTCTGCATCTGTACCTGGCTGCAGGTGCTGTTGAGGCTTGTGGCCTTTACCTGGAGTGGTGGCAGGGAGATGTTCACCCTTCTCCTAGCGAGGGTTGAAGGCTTCTGCAGCCAGGTCCCTGGTGCTGAACTTGGCCTTCACCTTACTGAAGGGTAGTAACCATCAATCACATCAGAACTCCTGTGCCTGGGGAGCCTTCTTGATTCCTCTAGAGGAGCTTAAATACAAAGCAGCTCCGCCAATCCAGAGTCTGAAAAAAGGACCACCGAGTGGGTATACCACGGCCAGGTGCGGGTTCAGACCCAGCTTCTACTCTGCATTTCCACTAAACTGGTGTGTGGCTTGACACAAGCCCAAACCTCCTTGTGCCTGGAGGCCCCCTTCTGAAACTGGTCCTTTCTAAGGTTTCTGTTTAGCTCGTAGCTTCTATCATTTTATAACATTGGCTGGTGATTCCTGAAATCTAAAACAAAAAGTCAGGACCCTGAACCCAAAGGCAAATGTTGCTACCGCAAGAACCTTAAATTCTCAAAGGGACTGATCATTCCAGCTCCCCAGAAAGCACAGTTTCAGTACTCCACGTACCTCTGATGAGGCCACAGCAGTTGCATGGATGTCAAGAGGAGAAATCATGGCAGCCTTTGGAGGGAGCGCCAGGAATCAATGCCACAGCCCTTGCCAGACCCTGCCACGCCCCGGGAGCATCACTGCCTGGCACACGCCCACGGAGGGGCTGACTGAAGCGTCTCCTTATCTTTTCATCAGCACGTAGTAGGTACATTTACACGTTTATACCTGAGATGTACCACAGGCTTTCAGCACAGTGCCAGGGGAGAAGCAAATCTGCAGCGACCACATGTACAGGCCGGTAGTAGAGAAAGAAAACATTTCTTTCAGGAAGCTTCCATGGCTCTTCAAAGGCAAATGCACACATTTTGGAAAATCTTAGCAAGACAAGTTTGAGAGGAATCCATCTAAACTCTAGTGTCAGTACTTGATAAGCCTGAGAAGGTTCTAAATGTGGTAGGACTTTTCTGGCTGTTACTGAAGACAGTCAGATCCTTAGGCTGGTCCCTCAGTCACTGGACTACACCTCTGATGATCCTCTTTGACACTCTGCCAGTCACCAAACGCAGAATGCCGAATGCCCACCACGTGTTAAGTACAATACATCTTCCAATCATACCTTGAATAGGAATCATATTGGCCCCCTGCGATTAAACTTTGCAAGAGGTAGAAAATATTTAAATTCCTAACACAGAGATGTGTTTTGGCCACAAATAAAAAAGTTATCACATTCCAAGCATGTGAGTGTCCCAAGCTGCACTCGAGGCGGCACTTTTCATAACCACCACAGCTCAGTTCTGTCTAGCTTGGCGGCAGAGGCTCTGCGGGCTGGACGCAGCTGCAGTGCCCTTGGACCGCTGCTGTTTCAAGCTGAGACCTGTCCTCAGTGTGTCTGCTGGATTCCACAGACAGCCTCTGCATGCTCACAGCGTGGAAAGGCTCACCCCCCACCCACGCATGCCCTCGCAGCAGGCCAGCCGGCCTCAGAGGAGGGCCAGGAGGGCATGCGCATAGCGCTCCCATCCCCACCCCACATGGAAGAAGCTGCCTTCACTCTGCAGTTAACACTGAAGCCCCCACAGGCAGATGCGCACGGAAGAGTAGCGTGTGCACTGAAGACCACACTAAGGCATCACTGACTAGAACAGACCCAGCACCTGGTGACGAGAAGAGGGCTGCGAGCAGGACACGGGTGCTGCACGCCCCAGTGACCGAAGGCAGGGGGAGTAGATGTGCGTGGCTTTTCAGGTCATTTTTCCTACTTTACCACTTGGCCTGTGACTGGCTTTCATCCCTGGGCAACTCAGTAAAGAGTGATGTGTGTGTGTTTCAATGTTTTGATTTCTCTTTCTTCCTTTGTCCAATGTAGAAAAGGAAAAACTCTGAACAGAGGGAGAGGAGACAGGTGTGTTGGAACTGTAACTCCTGGGGAGAGCCTGTTCTATATGAGAACACACTATACGTGAAACTCTATATGAGTTTCACACTGAACATGGAAATCAATGATGGGAAGCAGGTGCACCTTTGGAAGGAGTCCTTGACCATCTCCAAGGCTGCTAATACCTTGGAAAACAAAATGGACTTTGGACCAGATACAAAGGGAACGTGTAGCAAACCACAGGATCTCAAGCACAGGCATGGTCACAATTTAAGTATCACAATTTAAGCAAATACACATCCTGCCAACTTATATGGGTGAGTGAGTGGATTGTGGCCTGACCAGAAAACCAGCTTGGACTGCTAGCAGAGGGCAGGCCTGGAGGACCCTCCATCACCACCCCGCTGACTGTTCCTCTGTCTCCTGGCCTTGCGGGAGACATCCTCCCTTCCCAGGCAATGATGCCCTCCAGCACCCCTCACTCCCTGACCTCCTAGTTCTTTGTAACATCTGGGACCATGTGAAATCGTGATGCCCAGACCTGGCCCTCAGATCTGTCTTGGAGTAGGGTCCAAGAATCTGTATTTTTAACATGCATCCTAGGAGATTCCAAAATAGTTCCTTCAATGAAAACCCTTAGATGTACATACGTCTACAGCTCACAGTCCTGTAATCCAGAATCTGTTCGATATCCCCTACCCCCACTGAGCGGCTGAAAAGACACCTCCTCCCTTGCTCCTGCCTGTCTCCCAGTTTTGGACAACTTCACTGTGTGTGTGTGTGTGTGTGTCTGTGTGTGTATTTGAGGGGGACAGCTTCAGTTCTTCCCACCCACGCAGACACCCACACGGCTCCCAACTCAGGGATTCAGGCAGAAGGTGCAAGGGGCAAAGGCAGGGGGCGGACCTCACACACACATAGCCTCGGGTTGACTGTGAAAGTGGCTGCCTGCTAGTCTGGTTAACACCACTGATAAATGTGCTGATATTTGTTATCTGCCCGATGGGAGTCCCTGCCAGGCAGCAGTTACTCCTCAAGCCTTCAGGAGCCCAGGACTATTTAAAATTGCCAGAACCAGGCCGAGGGAATCAGTGTAGAGGGTGAGGGAAAATGAGATGTTTGTGCAACGTGCTTTCTACACACAGTGTTTATTCCCTTGGTTCCTCCTGAGAAAAGAAAAATCTAACCCATCACGTCCCCACAGGCAGAGGAGGTGAAAGTCTGGCCTGCGCACGGGAAGGCTCCAGCGGCCGACTCGGCTCCTCTTTGAGAGCTAATGTGTCTGTAAGACCCGTGGACTCAAACGAGCCAACTCCGAGCATCATCACAGCTGGTGAAAATCACATTTCTCCCTCCCGGTGTTCGGGTTTCTCTGTGAGTCACGCACAGAATGGGGGCAGCGGGCGAAGGCGGTGCTGACAAAGGGTTAGAGCAGAGCGTGGCAAGTTTTATGGTATGAGTGTCATGGTGGTGTCCAAACCAGTGGCCTTGCATTTCACTATATGCACAGTGTTAAGGACTTTTTTTTAAAGCTAAAAATGAGAATACAGAT